CAGGTGCTGGCGCGCACCGCCACCGCGGTGCGGCTGCTGGCCGCGACGCCGCCGGCGCAGGCACGGCGGCTGCTGCGCGCCGCCTCCTCGCCCGAGCTGCGCTTTCGCGTGACGCCGCGGCCGCCGGTCCCGGCCGCGGCGATGGACAGCCGTCTGGAGCGCCGCCTGGCGGCGGCTCTGGCCGCGCGGCTGGCGGGCAGCGGCGCCGGCGCGCCGCGCGTCGCCCTCGGCCGGCTGCCGCATCACGAGGGGATGCCCGGGGACATGTCGGGCGGCATGCCGGGCGGGATGCGCGGCCGGATGCCGGAGCGTGGGCCGGAGCGCGGGCCGGGGCCGGGCTGGCACGGCGCGTTCGGCCTGACCCTGGCGGTGCCGCTCGACGCCGCCTCCGGGGAGGCGGGGCTCTGGCTGGAGGCGCGTACCCTGGCGCCCCTGCGCGCGCCGGGCTGGGCCGGTCCGGCGGTGGTGGCCCTGGCGGTCTCGGCCCTGGCGATCAGCCTGGTGGTGGTGTTGACGGTGCGCCGGGTGACGCGGCCGCTGCGCGGCCTGGCCGACGCCGCCGAGGCCTTCGGGCGTGGCGAGCCGGGGGCGCCGTTGGCGGTTGCCGGGCCGGCCGAGGCGCGGCGCACCATCGCCGCCTTCAACGAGATGCGCGCGCGCATCCGCCGTTTCGTCGACGACCGCCTGCGGCTGCTGGCGGCGATCAGCCACGACCTGCGCACGCCGATCACCGCGCTGCGGCTGCGCGCAGAACTGGTCGAGGACGAGGAAACCCGCGCCAGGATGCTGGAGACCCTGGAGGAGCTGCAGCGCATGGTCGAGGCGACCCTGCGCTTCGCCCGCGAGGAGTCGGCCAGCGAGCCGACCCGGCGCGTCGACCTGGCGGCGCTGGTGGAGTCGCTGGTCGCCGACTTCGCCGAGCTGGGCCGCCCGGTGCGCTACCAGGGGCCGGAGAGCCTGCCCGCCAGCCTACGCCCCGATGCCCTGCGCCGGGCCCTGCGCAACCTGATCGACAACGCCCTGACCTACGGCGCGGCGGCGGAGGTCCGCCTGGCGCCCGGCCCCGCGGGGGTGGAGATCTGCGTCGACGACCGCGGCCCCGGCATTCCGCCCGAGGCGCGCGAGCGGGTCTTCGATCCCTTCCAGCGGCTGGAGGACTCGCGCAGCCGCGAGACCGGCGGCGTCGGCCTGGGCCTGTCGATCGCCCGCTCCATCGCCCGCGGCCACGGCGGCGACCTGACGCTGCACGACGCGCCCGGCGGCGGCCTGCGCGCGCGTCTGTGGCTGCCGGCGGGCGCTACAGCAGCGCGCTGACCCGCGCGCGCAGCGCCGGCACCACCTCCGCCTCGAACCAGGGGTTGCGCTTCAGCCAGGCGGTGTTGCGCCAGCTCGGGTGCGGCAGCGGCAGGAAGGCGGGGGCGTAGCTGCGCCAGGCGCGCACCGTTTCGGTCAGGCTGGCCCGGCGCGCCCGGCCCAGGTAGTGGCGCTGGGCGTACTGCCCGACCAGCAGGGTCAGCTCCAGGTTCGGCAGCAGCGGCCGGATGCGCGGGTGCCAGGTCGGCGCGCAGACCTGCGGCGGCGGCTTGTCGCCGCCGCGCGGATCGCGCCCGGGGTAGCACAGGCCCATCGGCAGGATGGCGATCCGCCGCGCGTCGTAGAAAGTGGCGCGGTCGACGCCCAGCCAGGCGCGCAGGCGGTCGCCCGAGGGGTCGTTGAAGGGCAGGCCGGTGGCGTGCACCCGCGTGCCCGGCGCCTGGCCGACGATCATCAGGCGGGCGCTGGCCGCGATCTGCAGCACCGGCCGCGGTCCCAGCGGTAGCGTCTCGGCGCAGACTCGGCAGGCCCGCGCCGCGGCGACGGTCCGCTCCAGCTCCTGTGGCACTGCTTCGGCTCTCCGGGTCCTGCTGTGCGGTGGCGAAGAAGTAGGGCGTCAGGGCGGTGCTTGCCGGCGACGGACCAGCTCGGCCCGAAGCGCGCGGATCTGGATGGCTAGGTGCCGCTCTTCCGCCGCGAGCAGCCGGACCTGCTGGTCCAGGCTGATCTCCCGATGGCAGAACAGCTCCAGTCGCACGGAGGTCACGACGAAAACCAGGAGCGACCCCAGGAGCGTCCAGCTATAGGGCGGGTTGAGGGCCTCGTAAACGATGAGGCCCAAAGAGGCGGCGGCCAGGGCGAGGTCGACCAGCGCGAAGCGGCGCCAGACGGGTCGTGCCGGCTCCGGCCCGCGCCGGATGCCCCCCTCCGCTCGCGCAGGAAAGCCTCGAACTCCGCACTCTCGAGGATGTCCCGATAGCCCTCGGCCGTCCGCCGCGATTCCGCGAGCGTTCGGTCGAGGCGTCGCGAGGCCCGGCGCCGCGCGGCCAGGGCCCGCAGGTAGAGCGAAACGGCGAGGCCCCCCAACAGGGCGGCGAGCAGGCCGGCCGTGGCCCACGGGCCGAGGCTCTCGCCGAGCGTGCCGGGCAAGGGCCACACGCCGTCGGAGAGCAGCGCGAAGAGAACGGCGATCAGCGCCGCCTGGATGAGCGGGCCGGCATAGAGGTAGGCGACGAGCCAGCGGTCCCGCCGCCAAAGCCGCTGCGTCAACCGGCGTTGCCGCGAGTCCTCGGCGCGCAGGAGCGCGAGGATCTCCCGGTCGGTGCCGTTCAGGTCGTAGCTGTCGGAACTCATGGCTTCACCGCCTGCGTGCCGGCCAGTATAGGCGCCTTGCGACAGGTCCGGTAGTCGCGCGTCAGGCCTCGGCGCCCGCCTCGGCCAGCACCTCCTCGACCCAGGCCGGGACCAGCTCGCTGGCCGGACCGTAGCGCTTTTCCGCGAAGAGGCTGGCGCCCTGGCTGGGTTCGAGATTCAGCTCCAGGGTGTGGGCGCCGGCGTGGCGCGCCTCCTCGACGAAGCCGGCGGCCGGGTAGACGTTGCCCGAGGTGCCGATCGACACGAAGAGGTCGCAGGTCGCCAGCGCCAGGTAGATGCGCTCCATCTGCAGCGGCATCTCGCCGAACCAGACCACGTGGGGGCGAAGCTGGCCGGCGCCGTGGCAGGCCGGACAGGGGCTGTCCGCCTCGATGTCGGTGGTCCAGGCGCTGTCCTGCCCGCAGTCCTGGCAGCGCGCGCGCAGCAGCTCGCCGTGCATGTGCACCACGTCGCGCAGCCCGCCGCGCTCGTGCAGGTCGTCGATGTTCTGGGTGACCAGCAGCAGCTCGCGCTCGGCGCTGCCCGGCGGGCTGCCGGCGGGGGCCTGGGCGAAGGCGCGCTGCAGCCGGGCCAGGGCGCGGTGCGCCGGGTTGGGTTGCACCGCCGCCTCCAGAAGCTGGCGCCGGCGCTCGTTGTAGAAGGCCTGGACCCGCGCGGGATTGCGCAGGAAGGCGTCGGGCGTGGCCACCTCCTCCAGGCTGACGCGCGACCAGATGCCGTCGGCGTCGCGGAAGGTGTCGAGGCCGCTTTCCTTGGAGATACCGGCGCCGGTCAGCACCACGATGCGCTTGATGGGAGACGCCATGGGGCTCTTCTCCTCCGGGGTCCGCTGTGATTCGTCGACTCGGGGCTCTGGCTTGTCGGCTGCGCGCCCCATGCGATATGACCGCGATGACCGGGGAACAAGGGGCAAGACCGTGACCGATCCGTCCGACCCGCGTGCGCGGGACGCGCAGACCGGCGGCACCGCGCCGGAACAGGTGCCCGCCAGCCCGCAGCCCGCCAGCCTGTTGTTCGTATGCAGCGGCAACATCTGTCGCTCGCCCACCGCCGAGGGGGTGATGCGCCGCCTGCTCGACGAGGCCGGCCTGACGCAGGTGCGCACCGGCTCGGTCGGCACCGGCGGCTGGCATGTCGGCGAGCCGCCGGATCTGCGCGCGCGTGAGGCCGCCGCCCGGCGCGGCTACGACCTGTCGGCGCTGCGAGCCGAGCAGCTCGCGGCGCGGCACTTCGAGACCTTCGACCGCCTCTACGCCATGGACCTGGGCCATCTGCGCCATCTGCGCGCGCGCGTGCCGGCCGCGCTGCGTACGCGGGTGCGCCTGTTCCTGCATCCGCTGGACCCGGAGGTCGGCTTGGGCCGGAGCGGCGCGCGCGAGGTGCCGGACCCCTACTACAGCGACCAGGCCGCCTACGAGCTGGTGCTCGACCTGGTCGAGGAAGGCGCGCGCGAGATCCTGGCGGCGCTGCGGGCCGGCCGGCTTTGACCCTGGCCGAGGCGGTCGAGGCGGCGCTGGGCCTGCGCCCGCTCAAGACACGGCCGCTGGGCGGCGGCTGCATCGCCGAGGTGGCGGCGGTCGACCTGCCCGACGGCCGCCGCCTGGTCGTCAAGCGCGGGCCGCCGCGAACGGCGCGGCCCGCCGGCGGGGACCCGTCCGACGGTGGGGCCGGGGGGCTGGCGCTGGAGGGCTGGATGCTCGGGGTGTTGGGCCGCCACGGCCTGCGGGTGCCCGAGGTGCTGTACGCCGATGCCGAGCTGCTGGTGATGACCCGCCTGGACGCGGGCGGCCGCCTCGACACGCCAAACCAGGGGCAGGCTGGCGAAGCCCGGACTGCCGAAGCCCGGACTGGCGAAGTCCGGACTGGCGAAGTCCGGACCGCCGAAATCCGGGCCGCCGAGGCCATCGCCGCCCTGCACGCCCACACCGCGCCGGCCTTCGGGCTGGAGCGCGACACGGTGATCGGCGGCCTGCCGCAGCCCAATGCCTGGCTGCCGCGCTGGCTGCCCTTCTTCGCCGAGCGGCGGCTGCTGCACATGGCCGGCCTCGCCGCCGGGCGCGGGCGCCTGCCCGGCGCGGATCTGGCGCGAGTCGAGCGGCTGGCCGGCCGGCTCGAGCGCTATCTGGGCGAGCCGGCGCGCCCGGCCCTGCTGCACGGCGACCTCTGGGGCGGCAACGTCCTGGTCGGCGCCGACGGCCGGCCGGGCTTCATCGACCCGGCGATCTACTACGGTCACCCGGAGGTGGAGCTGGCCTTCACCACCCTCTTCGGCACCTTCGGGCGGCCCTTCTTCCGCCGCTACGCCGAGCTGGCGCCGCTGGAGCCCGATTTCTTCGAGGTGCGGCGCGACCTCTACAACCTCTACCCCCTGCTGGTGCATGTCGCGCTGTTCGGCGGCGGCTACCTGGACAGCGTGCGCCGGGTCCTCGACCGCTACGTCTGAGGCACGTCTCAGGCACGTCTGAGGCCCGCCGCCGGCGAAGCCCGCGCGCGCCCTTGCAGCAATCGGCGGCGCCGCGGCGTTGGCGGGGCGGAGTCGATGACAGGCGGAGGTGGCGTGACCCGCGACACCCGCACAGAGGTTCAGGACCCCGAAACGCCGGAGGGCGCGGCCGCCGCGGGGCGCTCCGGCCCCGGCGCGACGCGCTCCGTCCCCCTCGCGGTGAAGCTGCTGCGCTGGGTCGAGCGGCTGGTGCTGCTGGCCGTCGCCGTCTTCACCGTGATGGCGGCCGGGGTCGAGGTGCTTCGGGTGGTCGAGACCGGCAGCGTGGTGCTGGCCGACCTGCTGCTGATGTTCCTCTATGCCGAGGTCATCGGCATGGTCGCCGTCTTCTACCTCTCGCGCACCACGCCGCTGTTCTACCCCATCTTCATCGCGATCACCGCGATCGCCCGGCTGATCGTGCTGCAGTCGAAGGAGATGGACCCCCTCAAGATCATCTACGAGGCGGCGGCGATCCTGCTGCTGGCCGGCGCCGTCGCCCTGCTCAAGCGCTTCGCGGCCGACTGAATGCCGGGCCGGCCGCCGGGCCAGCGGCGCGTCTCACACGGCCGGGACCCGCTCCAGCTCGTAGACCACCTCCTCGGTGTAGTGGGGGCCGTCGCTGCCCAGCACCGAGGAGAAGAGCGCGAAGTGCTCGACCGTGAAGGGGCCCAGGCGCAAGGGGCTGTTCTGGGCGATGAAGCGGCCGAGCTTGGGCCCCGGATCGCCCTTGAAGCGTGCCAGGGTGACATGCGGCTTGAACTTGCGCCGCTCGGCCGGCAGGCCGGCGCGGGCGACCGCGCTTTCCACCTTGGCCTGCAGGTGGGTGAGCGCCGGGGTCGGCGGCACGCCGACGTGCAGCGAGCGCAGCTTCGGCCCCTCGCCGAAGGTGGCCAGGCCCTCCAGGGTCAGGTCGAAGGCCGGCGCGTCGATCGCCGAGAGGGTGTCGTGCAGGTCGCGCGCCTGGCCGCCGTCGACCTCGCCGACGAAGCGCAGGGTGAGGTGCAGGTTCTCCGGCGGCACCCAGCGCGCGCCGGGAATGCCGCTGCCGGCCAGGGCGTCGAGGCGCTCGCGCACCTCCTCGGGCAGGCTCAGGGCGACGAACAGGCGCATGGCGAGGACCCTCCCGACGGTGCCGCGCGCGCAGGCGGGACCCGCCGCGCTCCAACGGCGGCCAGTCTAACAGGCGCCGGCGGCGCTGCGGCAAGTCCCGCCGGGCCGAAGCCCCGCCTGCCCGCGGCCGCCGGCGGCCGGCCGCTTTTTGCTTTGCAGCCCGAGGGTTTGCATCTTACCGTTGCGCCAGGATGAAAAACCCGGCGGGCGAACGACCGGGACGGGATGGCTCACATGTTCGGGAAGCGGAAGTCCGGGTGATGGAGGACCGCCAGCCGGCGCTGGTCGTCGAGGACATCACCAAGTCCTTCGGGTCGCTGGAGGTGCTCAAGGGCATCTCGATGACGGCGGCCCAGGGCGACGTGATCGCGCTGATCGGCGCTAGCGGCTCCGGCAAGTCCACCTTTCTGCGGTGCATCAACCTGCTGGAGATGCCCGACAGCGGGCGGGTCTGGGTCGGCGGCGAGCTGATCGAGGTGCGCCGCGACCGCCGCGGCCGCCGCACCTTCGACCGGCGCCAGGTCGACCGGCTGCGCCGCAGGCTCGGCATGGTCTTCCAGCAGTTCAATCTCTGGACCCACATGACGGTGCTGCAGAACGTCATGGAGGCGCCGGTGCATGTGCTCGGCCGGCCGCGCGAGCAGGCCCGGGCCTATGCTCTGGAGCTGCTGGCCAAGGTCGGCATCGCCGAGCGGGCCGACTACTATCCCGTGCATCTCTCCGGCGGCCAGCAGCAGCGCGCGGCGATTGCCCGGGCGCTGGCCATGGACCCCGACGTGCTGCTGTTCGACGAGCCGACCTCCGCCCTCGATCCCGAGCTGGTGGGCGAGGTGCTGCGCGTCATGCGCCAGCTCGCCGAGGAGGGGCGCACCATGGTGATCGTCACCCACGAGATGGGCTTCGCCCGGGAGGTCGCCGACCGGGTGATGTACCTGCACGAGGGCCGCGTCGAGGAGGAGGGGCCGCCGGACCAGGTGTTCGGCAACCCCAGCTCCGAGCGCTGCCGTCAGTTCCTCGCCTCCCACCTGGCCATGGCCGGCTGAGGCCGCGTGGACGGGGCGCGGGGCGAGACCGCAAGACGCAAGACGCCGTATGGCCGCGACGACACTCGGCCCAAGACTCCGGGGCCCAAGACCCCGGGGGCCAAGACTCCGGGGCCCAAGACTCCGGGGGCCAGGACTCAAGGCTCGTAGGACACACGACAGGGAACAGCGAAGAGGGATCCTCATCATGCGCAGACTCGCACTCACCCTGGCCGCCGCCGCGGCCTTCGGCCTCGCCGCTCCGGCCGCCGCCGAGACGGTGCGCATCGGCACCGAAGGCGCCTATCCGCCGTTCAACTACATCGACGAGAACGGCGAGCTGCAGGGCTTCGACGTCGAGATCGCCAAGGCGCTCTGCGAGGCCGCCGAGTTCGATTGCGAATTCGTGGTGCAGGACTGGGACGGGATCATTCCCGGCCTGCTGGCCGAGAAGTACGACGCCATCATCGCCTCCATGTCGATCACCGAGGAGCGCAAGGAGGTGGTCGACTTCACCGACAAGTACTACCAGACGCCGGCCAAGTTCGTGCAGCAGGAGGGGGCCGGCTACAGCATCGTCGAGGGCGTCGGCGCCGACGAGTCGATCGGCGACGTCGACAAGGTCACGCTCGACACCGACAGCCTGGACGGCGCCGTGGTCGGGGTGCAGTCGGCGACCGTCCACGAGGCCTTCCTGCAGGACAACTTCGGCGACGTGGTCGAGATCCGCAGCTACGGCTCGCAGGAGGAGGCCAACCTGGACATGGTCTCCGGGCGTGTCGACCTGCTGCTGGCCGACTCCGTGGTGCTCGACGAAGGCTTCCTGAAGACCGAGGCCGGCGAGGGCTACGAATTCGTCGGTCCCGGCTTCACCGACAGCCGCTGGTTCGGTGACGGCATCGGCATCGCCCTGCGCAAGGGCGATGACGAGCTGCGCCAGGCCCTCAACGCCGCGATCGACCAGATCCGCGCCGACGGCACCTACAAGACGATCAACGACAAGTACTTCACCTTCGACGCCTACGGCGCCGAGGTGGAGATGAACTAGCCGGCGCCGGACACGCCGGGCGGGGCGGGTCGACACCACCCGCGGCCCGGCCCCGCCACCTTTTCGTCTCGAGCCTGTCGGCTCGGCGCCCCGCGCCGGTGCCGGGCGGCGGCGCTCGGTGAGCAGGGACCCGCGGGTCGCCGTCTCGGGGGCAGCATGGAAAGCTTCGCGGCGCTGGAGGCGCGCGGCCTGACGCTGATCGACGGGCTGCAGATGACGCTGCTGGTCGGCCTGCTGTCGCTGGCGCTGGCGATCGTCTTCGGCCTGCTGGCCGCCTGGGCCAAGCTGACGCCGCTGCGTCCGCTGCAAATCGCGGCGAACACCTACACCACGGTGATCCGCGGCGTGCCGGAGCTGGTGCTGATTCTGCTGATCTACTACGGCGTGCCGACCCTGGTGCAGCAGGTGGTTCGGAGCTGGGGGCCGGCCTTCGCGGGCTTCCGCCTCGACCTCGATCCCTTCGCCGCCGGCACCATCACTCTGGGCTTCATCTACGGCGCCTTCGCCGCCGAGGTCTTCCGCGGCGCCTATCTGGCGGTGCCCCGCGGCCAGCTCGAAGCGGCGGTCGCCTGCGGCATGCACCGGCCGCTGATCTTCCGGCGCATCCTCTTTCCGCAGATGCTGCGCTACGCCCTGCCGGGGCTGGGCAACGTCTGGATGGTGCTGATCAAGGCGACGGCGCTGATGTCGGTGATCCAGCTCGACGAACTGATGCGCAAGGCGGAGATCGCGGCCGGCGCGACGCGCATGCCCTTCACCTTCTATCTCGCCGCGGCGCTCTTGTTCCTGGTGATCACCGCCGTGTCCATCTTTGTCCAGGCCCGGCTGGAGCGCTGGGCCAACCGCGGCGTGCGGCGGACCTGAGGGGGCGGCGATGAACCTGGAGCTCATCTGGGAGACCCTGCCGCGCTTTCTCTCCGGCGCGCTGCTGACGCTGGAGATCACCTTCGTCTCGGTGGCGCTCGGCCTGCTGCTGGCCATCGGCCTGGCGCTGCTGCGGGTCAGCCGCAACCCGCTGCTGTCCTGGCCGGTGCTGGGCTTCACCTTCTTCTTCCGCGGCACGCCGCTGCTGGTGCAGCTCTTCCTGGTCTACTACGGCGCCGGCCAGTTCTCCGACGCGCTGGCCAGCGTCGGCCTGTGGACCTTTTTCCGCGACGCCTGGTTCTGCGGCGTCTTCACCCTGACGCTCAACACCGCCGCCTACACCTGCGAGATCCTGCGCGGCGGCATCCAGGCCGTGCCGCATGGCGAGGTGGAGGCGGCGCGGGCCTTCGGCATGTCGGGGCAAAAGCTCTACCGGCGCATCATTCTGCCCAAGGCGGTGCGGATCGCCTTTCCCGCCTACACCAACGAGGTGATCTTCCTGCTGCAGGCCACCTCGCTGGTCTCGCTGATCACCCTGATGGACATCACCGGCGTGGCCTCGCGGGTCGCCGCGCGCTCCTTCGCCTACTACGAGATGTACCTGACCGCCGCCGTGCTCTACCTGGTCATCGTCTACGGACTGCAGGGCGTCTTCGGCCGGATCGAGCGGCGCCTCTCCGGCCACCTGCGTGCGCGGGACGAGCAGGGGCCGGCGGTGCCGCGCGGCTGAGGGCGGGGCGGCTGTAGGCGGGGCGTCTGTAGGCGGGGCGGCTGGGTGCGGGCAGGCGACTCAGCCGGCGTCCTCCAGGGCGCCGTCGGGGCGCAGGGGGGACTTGGCGAGGGCGGGCGCGGCCTCGCGGCGCTTGAGCTCGCCCAGGATCTCCAGGCCGCGGCCGATCTGCGCGTCCAGCTCCCACCAGGCGAGCCCGGCCGCCGGCGGGGCCGGGCGGGCCGGCGCCCGGGCAACCGCCTCGACCAGGTAGCGCGCCTCGGGCAGCGGCGGCGCCGGCGCGGCGGTGGGCGGGCGCAGGCCCGCCAGCAGGGCACGCGCCAGCAGCAGCGGGCGGCGGCGGCGCCCGACCACGGCGCGGCCGGCCAGGGGATCGTGGCCGCGCCGGGCCA